GTGAATGATTAATTGTATAAGTATAACCCTAAGCAATAGAGCCTTACACACAAGGATTGTTCGTTGTGAACCGAGCATCAGTAAGAGAGACGGAATGATTTATAAGCAAATTAGCAAGGAGCAGAATGGTCTGGATGTCGCGGGATCCGACTTTACGCAAAGCAATATAGAAATAGGTCATGAGGCAGATTTTAGACTCGGCCGCTCAGTTATATTGAGTGCTTGGATTTATCGCGCCTTTGGATCCAGACCACAGAGCTGATTCGACCAGCGGAAGATTGGATGGTTGAAAAATTTTTCAAATTACTGCCGCCCCCATCCGAAAGGGATTTCTGGTTTTTAAAAGGACTGACGGATTCGCGAAATATTTGTCAACCTACTTTGTTTCAGACAGTAGTATATCCTACGGATACTAAGATACGCAGCTTTATCTATGAGTATTAGCGTAGACATCTTTGATATGCATGTATTTGTATATGCACTGTGTATTAGTACAAACAAAAGATGTTCGAGAGGTTAACGTCTGAAATCGAATCACGTCGTACGGTATCCACCGTCATATATCATAAATCTGGATTACTTTGCTGTTGTAGTACTATTATTATAATATGACCATGACAAAATAGCAACAACAGTTTGCCATCCAATACCGTTTTCTAATAGGTGCATTTGTATATGTATGATCTGATATTTGTTACGTGCTGCGCTGTTAATTTTAATGTTTAGTTTCTCTGCCCTGAAAAATATGGTACGCTATATTTGACGTTTGTCGCGGTCCATGACCGCCAAAGCTGTTTTATGAATATCAAACGAATGCTGTTAAGACGCATGTTTTTCACACAAAAATATGAGTTGAGAAGTTCGTACGAATTGACTGTATTTTAGTTCAGTGATACATTAATCCATTATCTCCATTCCTGAACGTCCTGATGGAGCGTCGATAGCTGATAAAGCGTTATCTCTCTTATGCACTATCTGAGGATTCTTTGATCATTGACTGTTTTCCCTGACATTTTTAAGTGATCAGAAAACCTACCTGTCTTCCCTCAGCTTCCGTTTAGTCTGCTTTCATAGAAGAGAGTACTCCACTATGTCGATCCCTTCTCAGTTTATTATTTTTCGCCTCTAACTTATTTTCTGTTTCTTCTGAGAACTTTCTTTTTATTCCATTTGATGCTACCACCTAGGCTAACTTTAGGTATTCTCCTCCCTTTCTCGGTGAATTTCTCTTAGCCGTCCTCGCAGCTGCTTTTCAGCCTCCACGCTTCGCTGGGAATACGCGTTTCGATCACTCACTCGTTGAATACCTCCGGTCGTTGTCTGTCGTTTGCCATCTGCAGTGTCGTTCTAAATCTTCTCCTAAAGGATCAGCCTGGCTCCCATCAGTCTTTGGTCCCTACCTGTGTTAAGGGACGGCACTGCGTCTATGTGCCAGATTATGCGGCGTTTATTGATCATGACGACGAAGTCGATCTCGTTTTTCGTTGCCGGTTTGGACGCGATCCATGTCAACCTATTATTGGTTTTCTTTTTAAACCAGATGTTTCCGTTACCATACAGATGTTTGGTTTGTGTCACCCTCAACAACCGTTCCCTAGTTCGTTTCGCTCTTTATTATCGTACATACCGACGAACGTTTCACCGCTGGCCTTTTTACGCCCAACGGTGGCACTGGAAGATCCGTTTACCAGATTGTGAACTTTTCACTTGAGATTCTTAGCAGCCTCTCTCGTCAGTCGAATATGAAGCCGCCGCCGTGGAAGGGACTGAAGATACGCAGAGTTCCGAGGATCATTTATTCGTATTATCATAGCGTATGAAACATTATCACTCGCTGACAAGGCTGAGGCTGCTCTGGAAAATTTCGTATGAGATGGTGTGCCCTCTTCACCCATTACCGCCGGTTTTTATCCAAGTTCTCGGTTTTGATCTTTGATGAACCGACGTGTAATCGCAGGACACAGTGACGACTGCTGTCTTTTTTTCGAACGAACGGGTCGCTTTCGGCTCGTCATGACACTGATATTGAGCATTGTGACTTTTTCTGTGAGAATCGAACTTGTCAACTCGAACTTATCCACACGCCCTGATGATCTAATCGCTGCCTGTGCGAGATTGGTGACGATTTGTTGCAGCTAACCTATATGTCTGGAGGTCATTCCCATATGCACAATCCGGGAGCCCAGCTGGCCAGTGGCTTGGCATACTGGACATCTGTACACAAAAACAAAACTGCTTTTAATGACGAACATCGAATACTTTCTCAAGGAACGGGACGAAATTATGTAGCTGCATACACTTGTGAGATCTAATCTGTTACCTTACGTAATGCGGTAAATAATCTTGTCATCTAGTTACTTCTCACTTTATATATAACTGTGCTTTTCGGTTTAACCGTCCTAACCGCCATGATCTACAGCGCTGCGTGTTGGTTTACTATGCCACTAAAGCAAAAGACAACAAAATGATGGTCACGCAAAAAGCGATGAAACAAACAACGTGCAAGGTTCTTCTCTGCCCCCTCCCCCCGGGATCAAATTCTGGGCGTAAAAATTCACCAGCTGACGAAATTAACAGACGTGGTCTTCGTACGAAGCCTAGAGTTGATGAGCCAGCCTTTTGACTCATGTGAGAAACAGTGATTGAACACCGGGAATTACAAACTGAGGATTTCGCTTGGCCGCTAACTTCGACTACATGATCATCCAAGAACTCGCTGGGACGATCTGATGGTCAAATTATTGGCAGAAAGCGGAAAACAGAAATACTAATGTAGTGTCACCTTGCGTTCATTTTGCACCCAAAACGGGGGACAAGTCTCATCATGGATAATTATTCTTATCGATCTAGCTATAATAATATCAGCTAAACAAGTTGTAGTTCGGCATAGCATAGTTGTGCGGTTTTGCATCCATGCACGGCAGGTGCTGTAATTACTTTTGGACATGTCCTGCTTGAAAGTCATTCCAAGACTGTGGAAGCCAGTAAACAATGCGATTACAAATATATCAGTCGATGGGCATGTAGAAGCTACAGTTTAACTATATGCAGTTATTATAATATACTTAATTGTAGCCATATCAGTAAACATAATTTGTACAGTTTTAACCATGTGCTTCCTGGTAATTCTGTCTTTATATCTCTGTAGAATCATGTTCATAAAATGGTTAAAATGTGTTTATACATCTGTTTACATTATGCCATAGTGCGGTAACATCATGAGTGTTGTTGTGGTTATTGTCACCATCAACCTTTGTTGATCTACTGCGTGAAGATGGCTTCTACAAGACTAGATCATGGACTATTGTTTTCTGATATTTTTATTCGTCTTGAACCAGTGTGCGTGATTTCACATTAGATGACGTGTCCCTGGGATTGATCAGTGTTGTCTCTT